AAAAAAAAAATTAAAAATAATAAATAAATAAATAAATCCAACCAAATCAGCTTGGGTAACAAATACTACGAAAAATAACAGAGAGCAATATAGTCCGGTGACTTTTGAGACACCCCGTGAGGTTCACAAAATACTGGAACATTTATTAACACAATAACTTATGTACTTACTCGACTTGTTCTGCTATGGATAGAGTCGGCATGGCAAGGAAGACACAGTTGGTGATGATGGTCAGGAAGATAAACATATCGAAGATCTGATTGGTGGCAACATACAAGCCCAGCCTCCGCAGCCCGTTCCAGGGCGTCAGCAGGAAGAGGGACTTGGTCGCCGAGAACCGGTTGATGTAACGTTTGCTGAAGCGCCGAGAGATCACCACGAATGTCTGAGGAGAAAGTCAAACAGGAAAAAGTCGAACAAATGTGCCGTATAGTTAGCTAATTGATTGTCATGTTGATTAAATTTAATGAGTAGAGCATTAAAGGTCACTATTGATTATATCTTAGACCCAAAAGGCTGGTACATGGTATATAGTAATCTGTTTCAGATCTTTGACTGCAAAAGGACAGAAAATAGTTTTACACAGACTTAATGGTATAACAGGTCAACTGAACGCTATTCTCACACATGATGGTCACTGAAAAGGTAAAGACTTCTCTTCTTATGTTTATCTAAGCCGATACCCATCTAATTAGTAGAGACTCCAAGAAAAAAACCTAACAAAAATAATAATAATAGTAAAAACCAACAGACTTTATTAAACGTTTTGGCTTTTTTTTTAATTAAAAAAAATTCGGGCTGCAGATTTGAACAACGGTCACCACTGAGAAAACCAGCACGATATGCACTCGTCTGGTAGTATGTAAAAAAATAATAATTAAACAAAGAATGATGGGAGAGAGGGGATAATGGAGAGAGAGAGGTAGAGGGAAAGGGAGATGGGGGTGGGGATAAATAGATAGATAGATAGATAGATAGATAGATAGATAGATAGATAGATAGATAGATAGTATAAAGAAGGAGGCGGATGCATGCGGAGACAATAAATGGTACAGCTCTCCTAATCATTCATTGGTGCTATTTCACAGCTGATGATTTCCCTAGGCCTTTTCGTTGTTTTGTTAAGTTGGCCTGCTTCAGGGACCCCCATTTAGGAGACAAAAGAATAAAACCGTTTGTTCTAAGCTAAATCTCGCAATACAACATAAAGTACTTGGGCGATCACACTAGTCTATGCTTGTTTCAATCCTAGACCGTACCTGAAACTTAGTCAATGACCCTCGCACTAGAACAAAGGTGTACAATGGCTTCGTAGTTGGAGCCAACAGCTTCTTTTGCTAATCCGCGCGGTTGTTCAAGCTTAATCCTAAACGAGCATGAAAAACAATAAAGCAGGCTCAGGCATGGTTAATTTATCACTCTCCCATTGCAGTAGATCTAATGCTCTGCGTTCTGTCTACCTTTTTCTTTTTTTTGCGCTGCCGAAACGTCAAAAATTTAGCTGGCGATAAACGGGAAACGACGACGTACGACACATTAACCCCAGGTGACTATATGAAGGGTGGGGTCATACCAGGTATGAGATCCGTGTCAAACAGCTTGCATTTTCGCCGATTTTAAGTGGGGTTTTAATAATTACCTTTAGTGGTGAGCCGTGTTTCTATTACTGTTAATGTATCTTTGTTACTCAGAATCGAAGTAGATTGTACTTTTGTACTAACTAGATGTTCAAAGACATGACACCCACCAGAATACAAATCTCTATATGGTCAAGGCCTAAAGACAAAATATTGAGATAGAAGGCGAACCACAAAGTGCTACAGAATAAGAATAACACGTTAAGAATGCAGGTCATGTTCCTGTTCCGTTCCTATTGTGTTGATGTCAAGTTTTAAGGAAGTTTCAAGCAGTGTTCGATACACAATAAAAGAAACTTTTAGGAAACAAATAAAATGATTCCACATGAGTTTTTGCTGTTGCAATAGGGGCAGAGAGAGTTGTACAACCGTTGCAGTGGACGATATCATTGTTTTGTGAGGCAGTTTTAACACTTAGTGAAGAGCATGAAAACATGTGAGTCTGTGTGCGTTAATGCATGAGTGTGTATTTGTATATGAGCGTGTGTGTGTGTGTGTGTGTGTGTGTGTGTGTGTGTTTGTATGTGCGTGTGCACGAACACCAGGTAGTAACGTTGTTTGTTATTAATGGAATCAACTAATTAAACGGAACCAGCAGGAAGTCAGAGTTTTCGTAAACAAAAGACAAAAGACTACAATGCATAGTATAGATCATCTTAAAGTCCAATAGGAAAACGCTAAGTCTGCAAGGACACGTCGCAATATTAGGTAAAAAAAGGCGGCAACATTTATTTGCTCAAGCGAAACTCATTCAACAATGGGGTGCTGGATGGAAAAGACACAAGGGCGGTGGCGAATTTACATTTTCGGGGAACTATCATGAATCTCCAGAGAGCTGAGCAGTAAAATAAATTAAAATTTTATGGTAAGTGGGAAATTGCCTCTTGAAATAAGCAGGCCAAATTACTTATTTTCCCCATTACAAATTCAAAAGATGTATTTCGTAAAAAAGGTAACGAAAGATGAAAGATGAATGTGACCAGGTAAATAAAGAAAGGCAGAAAGAACGGAGAGAATGAACAATGAGAACGGTTTTAAGAAGGCGCAACAATCATTAGATCTATATGCACAATACTATCTTACAGCGCAGGGATACACCCATAAAAAGAGAAAGAATGTAACACAACCCCCTCACCCACCCCACCCCTTCCCTCAACCTGGAACAATATGTACTAGAAAGAAGACATACAAATGATACATTAAAAGAAAACTAAAGACCATGGCACAATTTGGACTTCAAAACAGTAAAGTACGATGCATCATTTGTACTATGGGGATCCCCATTGAAGATAAATAGATGTATGATTCATAATATTCATTTAAGTACCGCGTCTTCAACAGCTACAGCTGGAGAATCCCCGAATTTAGACATTCAACAAAACAGATGTTTTTGGATTCTGATTTACCTACAGGCCAGATGAGAAAACAGCCTGGGTGCGAAAACTTGCCATTACCAGCGACTAGATCTCGTGAACAAACAAGACGACGCCCCAGTTCATTCTTTCTCTAGCCCGAACATACCCACTACGTGTCTACACAATGCCATTTTCATAGCGGATTTTTCTGTGAACACTGCCCCAAGAGGCATTCTGAAGACCACTTCAAGGGATCAAGGCAATCGAGCCACAGAATCTGCAGTCTATGAGCTGACGTGCGCAAAAGTAATGTATAACTCACAAATTGCAAAGACCATTATTGCCTCAACAGCTTTCATTCAATTATTCTCAAACAGTGCAGATTTAGAACAATGACCGCGCTGAGGAGGTCTCTGACTTTTCAAGAGAGCCCCCTATTTTTTTTCATTCTTGTAAGCACAACTCGTGCTGAAGTGAAAACAACCACAAGATTATTCAGAGTCCACTTCTCCGCTTCGAGGGTAACTCCTTCAGAGCGCAAAAGCTTCATGGATCGATGGTGAATGATGTCAATGTGTCGTCATCAGACGCTTTCCTCTCAAACATCGGTTATGAGTGAGGTCCAAAATGATCGGTTATCCATACTGGTCTTGCTCTCAGTTCAATGTGACTTTTGAATTTCACCATTCGCCTGTCGTTTGTACAAGGAAAACCCAACAAAAATCCTCCATATTCCCGTTACGGAGTGGGCAAAAGCAAAGGACAAAATACAGTAAAATTCATCAATTTTGGGAAGGAGGTGTGCTGAAGGCTCTTTTAAAAAGAAGTCTTCACCATCTCCTCTCATATTTCAACAAGTCGTCTTCAGATTTAGTCTAACCTTTTCCTGTGACTGCATACACTGAGTTCTCGACAACTCATTACAATGTAATATTTTAGATAAAATAAAATGCTGTAAACATGAGAACCTCCTAACCCCCTTCTCTCCCAAACTTCTAACGTAAATCAACAAGGTAAAAAAGAAACAAAAGAACAATGGGGAAGAAAATGACTTAGAAGGCGCAACAATAACTAACAAAAGTTGCTCAGCATTACTGTAAGAAATCCAATATATTGCCGTTTCGTCTCAACTTGGAAGGAGTAGTTATATTAAGTGTTTCTCAATAAATTAATTTTTAAAACATAAGACTGATAAAGAATCTGTGCCCCACACTGTAGTACATTCTGATTGCAGCGCGAAATTATTGAATAACTTCGTCTTCGAATGCAAAAGTCTTCTGAGAATAGCGATCCCAAGGGATGTGTGATAGAAACTTCATAAATTATTCGTAGACAAGAGGCGGAACCAATGAGCTGAGAAGTCCCTCGTGATTGCAACTTCTTTTTTTAAAGGGGTGTGAAAAATCCGCGTGCCAGTCTTTAATATCGAGCTGGCTGGGTTTTTTTCAATCAGATACGTGACTTTTTTCAATCAGATACGTGACTTAAGAAATAACAATAGATCTAGCTCCAAATTATCAGAAAATAACGTACAGTCATGTAAACAATCTCTGTCTTCTCTGTTCCCAGTGGTATGCAAAGCTGGTAATTTGGTCCGCGCGATGTTGTCATAATGTCTCATAGGGTTTGCAAATCCAATAGTGTAATAACAAAACATTAAGGGCACAAGTGATATTGAACTTTTTTCAATCCAGACAATGCAAACAACAGTTATGGGTTTCTTTCTACAATTGGTAATATACAGAATCTGCCAGCTATAGGAGTATACAATTGTTTATTGTGATAGCTCTACTTTAGGTTTGTGAACATTGTAAATAGTCCAGAACAGCACTGGGGTGGGCAATAATTATTATTATTATTATTATTACTAATGATGATAATATAACAACAACAAAAATAATAATAACAATAATAGTAATAATAAT